TCCCAGCGCCCAATAAGATCGCACAGGGTGGGCCTTCTCCGGGTGCCGTTGACTACGCAGTGTCGTCTGGCGGCTCCTCGGGGGAGAGCCTTCTCTGTAGCTGCCCCGGCCCTATGGAACGATCTACCGCCCGAGATCCGGACCCTCCCCACTCTCTTGGCTTTCCGAAAGTTTGTTGGCTGTTCCGGTAGGCCTGGGGTTGCTGATCTCTGATTGAGCTTCAGCCCCATTAAGATCGAGTGCATGTTGTGTCCTTTTTTTTAATTCGCTCTGTCCTGTATTTTAACTCTTTTAGTATTTTGTTTTTAAACTGTTTTTATGTAAGCCGCCCGGAGTCCTTCGGGATTGGGCGGCATACAAATCCATTAAAATTGAAATTAAAATTGAATTCCTGCTGCCGGCGAGGCATGCCTGGCCTGGCGGTAGGGCCGACCTGGGCTTTTTGCAGCCCCAGAGCTGCAGTGTGTGGTGTACACCTTCATGCTCCATTCCTGCGCTGGCCTGGGGCTAAGCTTGGCGTTGCTTTTTGTGACTCTAGGGCAGTGTTTCTCAAGCGTGGCAACTTAAAGATGTCCGGATTTCAATTCCCAGAATTCTGGGAGTTGAAGTCCAGACATCTTCAAGTTGCCAAGGTTTAGGTTTATTAGATTTATATGCCGCCCTTCTCCCAAGGACTCAGGACGGCGTAGAACATTAAAAGAAGCACATAATACAAAAGTTTTAAAAGAATTAAATAGAATATCCCAAACCCAATTAAAATTGACAATGACATTTTTTTAAAAAAAAATTCGAATTAAAATTAACAGTGATCAATAGCTGGCTGGGGGATTCTGGGAGTTGAAGTCCACAGGGCTTAAAGTCGCCAAGGTTGAGAAACACTGATCTAAAAGCAGTTGGTTATTCCCTGTTTTCAGCAGGAAAACAGACTTTGTTCCCCTTCGTTCAAGGCGAACGAATCCTGGAAACATTTCTCCATATAGGGCTGGCTCTTTTTAGGAACAGCCTCCCGTTAGATAGATGCCATCCCCTCGGATTTCATACCCTCAACAAATGCACTAGAGCAGGGGTGTGAAACTTAAGGTCTGTGGGCCACATCCCTCCCACAGGGTGCTTAGATCCGGCCCACGGGTTTGGGCTAGAAATAGCAAAGGATTGGCCTGCAGTGCCTCTGGTAGCCAAAATGCGGCATGGAGGGGACTGCCCATGCCCCCTCTCCCAATTTTGGCTGCCAGGATGGTGCAGGAGGCTGTCCAGGCCCAAAACAGGGTGCTGGGGGACCGTCGTACCCCATTTCGGCTGGCAGAGGGCTATCCAAATTAAAAACAAAAAGAGAAATTTTGCATTTGAGCATGTAAGAAGGCGCAGGAAAGGAGAAAGGGAAAGAGGAAAGAAAAAGAAAAAGAAGAGAAGATGGGAAGAGAACAAGGAATGAAAAAATAAGAAAAGAGGGGAAGGAAGAAGAAATTAGAATGACAAGGGAAGGAAGGAAGGAAAGAAGGAAAGAAGGAAGGAAAGAAAGAAAGAAGGAAGGAAGGAAGGAGAGTATAATGAGAGTGAGAGAGAGTCTGAGGGAAGTTCTGCCTTAGCGCTTGGCCGCCACAGGTGCCCCCGCTCGGACAGGAGTCCCGTGTCACAACCATCATAGCCACGCCCACTCCGACCACATCCACCCCCAGCCCTCCGAGGTCAAACACAACCAGAGGTGGGTTCCAGCTGCTGCTGCTACTGCCTGTTTGCTAAGTGCACGTGCACTTGATGCGTGCATGCGCAGTACTAAAAAACAACAAGATGGCGGCGCCTATGGCGCTGCCCAGAGAACCAGTTCGGGTGTGTGGCAGGCCG